TTCATAGACAAGTTACGATTTCGGTGGACCCAGATGTGTCGGCCTTTGTAGAGTTTGTGGATAATATGACTGCTTAGTTTTTAGTGCTTTAGGCTTTCTGAGGGCTCTAGTTTTGTATTCTTTACATTGTCTTGATGATTTTTAATAATATATGATTACTTATTTATCAAAAATATATATATATATATATTGCAAGTGTAGAGTTATTCAAGAACTCTAAACCACTTAGTCACAATCAGTGTGCTTGGTTTGAGTTTTTTGGATTAAGTTTTTTGAAAATTGAGTTTTTTGGTTTTCGTATTTTTTTGTTTTTAGTGAATATTTTTAAAATTTTAAACATTTTTTTACTTTTTTCGATTCACCTTACTTAGATGTATCTAAAAAGTAAAAAATTTGTGAAAAAATATTTTAAAAAATTAATAAATATATAAAAATACAAAAAATGTACTGAATTCTCGTATTTTTTTTGTATTTTTGGTATTTAGTGAATTTTTAAAATGTTTTTTTCACAAATTTTTTACTTTTTAGGTATATTTATGTTAGGTATGTCTAAAAAGTAAAAAAAAATTGCTTAAAATATTAAAAAAATTCAGTAAAAACAAAAAAATACGGAAAACAAGAAAGTAGAATTTTCTGAAAAGTGTTTTTTGAAAACAAGAACCAAGCAAAGTGAATATCTTTTGCTCTTCTCTCTTCTCTCTTCTCTCCTCTCTTCTCTCTTTCTTCCTCTCTAACCCTAACCTTAATTTTCTCCATTTTACATTCTAACTAATAAGCTTACCACTTTTTGATAGGTATTGTCTTTTCATTCCTGTCTACCTCTTTTCAAATGTTCAATAAGATTTGAAAATTGTTGTGGCTTTATAGAAGGATCCAATAGGAAGTCCCAAATACGAAGTGGGAATGAAACCCACCCAAATACTTAGCCAGGTTCATTTATATCCTGCAGCTCTCCCATAAGAATCTAGACACTTTTAGCCATGTTCATCCTTAACCCCGAGACTGGCTCAAAAAAGAAAAAACTCATCTCAAGTATCTCAATTGCTCTGACTCCACTACATAAAAAAAAATAGTTTCATACCACATATCATCCTACTGCCGAAGAAGTCCATTAAAAGACAACATAAATGCCACTGCAAAGTTGGAGACATGAAATCATGCAATCAATAGCAATAAGAGGGGATTTGATGAGGCAGCTAATCAAACCAGTCCTTTCACTCCATAAAAGCTTTGAGTGACATCCATCATACACAAATAATTAACAAACAATATGAAATTTCTCATATTAACTGTATCACCAATTTGGCCAACCCAGAATTTTATTTTATTTTATTTTTTCCATATTTTAATTACTTGCTCACAATATCTGAACTTCAATTAGAAAAAACATTAAAATTCTTAGCCTAATTAACAAGAAAATAAAATGAAACAACAACCTTCTCCCACAAATTTAATGTCTTCAACTAAATATTTAAATCTTCTCATTTGAAGATTAAGCAGAACCCGATTTGGCCTTCCCATCCAAATTCAGGGCTGGACAGCATTTTGCAACCAATCACCACAAACAAGAACAGTGATAGGTCTGGTGACATCCAAGGTTCTCTGAGACAAATTAAAGAACTTCTCCACATATAAAAAGGCTGTACAAATACAGCATATAATAGACTCAATTGCTAAAAACGTCAATAAGATTTGAAAATTGTTGTGGCTTTATAGAAGGATCCAATAGGAAGTCCCAAATACGAAGTGGGAATGAAACCCACCCAAATACATAGCCAGGTTCATTTATATCCTGCAGCTCTCCCATGAGAATCAAGACACTTTTAGCCATGTTCATCCTTAACCCCGAGACTGGCTCAAAAAAAAGAAAAAACTCATCTCAAGTATCTCAATTGCTCTGACTCCACTACATAAAAAAAAAATAGTTTCATACCACATATCATCCTACTGCCGAAGAAGTCCATTAAAAGACAACATAAATGCCACTGCAAAGTTGGAGACATGAAATCATGCAATCAATAGCAATAAGAGGGGATTTGATGAGGCAGCTAATCAAACCAGTCCTTTCACTCCATAAAAGCTTTGAGTGACATCCATCATACACAAATAATTAACAAACAATATGAAACTTCTCATATTAACTGTATCACCAATTTGGCCAACCCAGAATTTTATTTTATTTTATTTTTTCCATATTTTAATTACTTGCTCACAATATCTGAACTTCAATTAGAAAAAACATTAAAATTCTTAGCCTAATTAACAAGAAAATAAAATGAAACAACAACCTTCTCCAACAAATTTAATGTCTTCAACTAAATATTTAAATCTTCTCATTTGAAGATTAAGCACAACCCGATTTCGCCTTCCCATCCAAATTCAGGGCTGGACAGCATTTTGCAACCAATCACCACAAACAAGAACAGTGATAGGTCTGGTGACATCCAAGGTTCTCTGAGACAAATTAAAGAACTTCTCCACATATAAAAAGGCTGTACAAATACAGCATATAATAGACTCAATTGCTAAAAACGATAAAGTTCACTTGCATATAATAGATTCAATTATTAAATTTTACTTGCAAATGACATCAAGTGATCAGAAAAAGGTTTGATCATTTTGTTTGATTACCAATTGTATTCTATGGAAAGATAATGAGCCACATCAGCTAGGATTTTGAGTCCTGAAAAAGTAAAACTTTCATAAAGATTCTGCACATTTAAGGGAAATCTTTGCAACGAGTAAACCCAACCTCTGTCGCAGAGTGCTGAAACTGTCACAAGTAGCTGCCATCTAGTTTTGCCTCCTAAAAGGTTCCCATATAGTTACTAGGGTGCCATGAAGGAATGATATCAGAACACACATATAGTTAAGCCAAAAAATTCACAGAAGAACATGCAAGCAGTTTCAAAGGGAAAGTCTTAGTAAGGTCAACGTTCCCTTCTATTATCAAACTTCATTACACAAAACTAACTGATTCAATCAAAATGAATTCTTGTTTGTTTTGACTACAGTGTTATGGATGACCTGACAATTCTATTTCACATCAACTAATCTAGTAGCTAAGGGTGTCTATGGAAACTAAGAAAGTTAGCAGACCAGTAGGAAGTGGCTTGCCTTTTACTCCATTCCAAAGTAATGGGAGAGTGGCTTGCCTTCCCTGATAGGAAGAGATTCAATAAAAACTGATTATTCTCGGATAGAGTATTAGAATGGAAAGATCCATTATTGGTTTGTGTCAATAGGAGTGTGCCCATGAGAAGCGTGTTCACGATTTATCATTCAAATATTTCTAGTACCAAATCATGATGTTTCAAGTGCAATGCATCAGCCAATCAGGCATCCACTTTCAGAAAGCATCTGAGTGTGAGTAGCCCCCTCAGATTAATGAGCTTAACTAGCAAGTGAGTATGCCAGTTGATGCAAGTGTTACAAGCCTAAGACGAAGACGAATAAGAAGAAGCAGCAGGACAACATATAGTGTGACTGTGTAACCTGAGGACAGATTAAGTTATTGAATGCCCTTGTGTGAAATACTCCTCCACAAGGTCAACACATAGATGTAACTGCATAATGATAACTTTTCAGATGGGTATGATTTCTTCAAGTAAATAAACATAAGCATTGGCATCGAGTATTTAACAAAACTCTATTGTTATATGCTGCAAAACACAAAGGCTAATTCTATGTTACTTGGAACATGGATCGTTTCAGTACATAGAATGGATCCAAGTGTAGTACGCTACATTTTCTAATATATGGTATCTAAAAGGCACGGATACAGGCACGTGACATGACATGGATATAATACAAACATGTCAATACAGCAATTTTCAAAACATGCAGGACACGACATGTGGGGGACACGCACAAAATATAATTTTATATATTTATTATATGTCATATATATGAATATATCATTCCAAGACAATAAATAAATATAATATAATAGTAATTTCTATAAATTGACATTTTTTTTTTTTTATCATCATATTCTTAGTTATTTTGTTCAAATGTATAAATAGTTTCATGTGTGTTTAAGCAATGGACATGCGTGTCCTCCTAGTGTCTAACTCTACATTTTTTTACAAAAGTAAGACACATTTGGATGAGTGTCGGACACATATTGGGAAGTGTCCGATGAATGTTGGGGTCCGCATGGGCAAGCCACCATTTTAGAAGTATGTGTTTCTTAGTTTGGTATAATAGGAGTAGACTTATTTAGATTACACTACTAGAATTTAAAATACTTCTAAATCAAAAAAAAATTAACAATTAATTAGACATCCAACAAAATTTCTTTTTTTTTTTCCTTTTCTTTTTGAAATTAATCATGTTACAACACATTTCTATGAGCATTATAACCCATTTGTATATGTTTTGTCATACCAAAACTCTACTTTCCTTAGATTTTAATTTATTATATTTGATTTGTTTTTCCTCCTAAGTAAACTGTTACGCTGTATTTGGTTGGAGGATTTGGAAAATGATTTGGAAAGGGAAAGGGAAACGGAAACGGAAACGGAAAGGGAAATGGAGGTAAAATGTAAATAAAATATACCTTCATTTCACCTAATTTCACACAATTTTTCCCTTTCCCTTTCCCTTTCCGAATCCATTCCCAAACCCCTCAACCAAACATAGCATCAACCAAACATAGCAGTAAAGTTCATACTAGAAATATTTTTGGAATCACTTTTATTTTAGATGGTGTTTTTGGGATCACTTTAGATTATTAAATTTACATTTCAATGCACCCATTCCAAAATATAAATCGCTAGGGTTAGTGTTTTCTGGTAACACTGTGCCAATCCAATTGGAAAATGATTGTTGAGCAAAAGCTTAATTATCAACTCAATCAAATCCCAAAAGGACATAGTGAATTCACAATTCTACTGTTACCACAACACATAAATAAATACTAATCAAGCAAATAACTGCAAAAACCAAAGAAATAAACAAAACCCTAAACCCTAATTTCATGAAATTGAAGCAAATACCTGAGACCCAGCAAGCTCCTCAAACTGCTTAACCCAATCCTCCATCATTGGATCCTTTCCGAAATCGTCTGCAAGGGGTTTCGAGCCGGTGACAGACTCGAGTCCCTTGACAGCCTCCCTAGTCTGCTCTCTAAGCTTATCAAGAGCTTCCGAAACATGAGATTCTTTGGAAACCTTTTGCTTGCCCTTTTTCTTACTTCTCAAGTCAGGCAAACCCATACCCAAGCCTTGAACCTCATTACTAGGCATAATACAACTCTCATGTTTCTTCACTTCTCCATCTCCACTCCTGAAATCAAAGGGCAAAGCTCTCAACATATTTATATATGCGTATACGTATATGTACATGTCTATGAGGAGAGAGAGAGAGTAATACCTTTGAGCTTGAACAGAAGAAGTAAGATTGAGATTTTGGAAATCATCCAAAGCGCCTGAAATGATTCAATGGTGATGAGAACTCATGTAAATACATACATATACATGTATATGCATATACATAGAGAGAGAGAGAGAGAGAGAGAGAGATTGAATTTCTTACTATCAAGGAGCTGGTCTAAATCAGAGTGTTCCGCCATTAGCTTACAATCTCTCTCTCCCTCTCCCTCTCTATTATCTATCTCTCTGTTCTTCTGTGTATGTATGTATAAGTTGCCGGCATTGGTTTTGGCATTTTTGTGTTTGGGAGTTTTTTTAAGAAAAATTTACTCATTAGTACTAGTTTCTCAAAATTTGAACCATTTAGTCTTAAAAATTTTCTTATGTTTTATTTAGTCTCATTTGCACATTAATCTAATGTTTGAAACATTAATCTGATAATCTGATGTTCGAAACATTAATCTGATATTTGAAACATTGTAATAGGACCTTTCAGTCTATAAGAAAACTTTTAGGACTAAACAGTATATAAGTTATTAATTTGAAATTTATTGGTGCATCCCCCTTTTTTTAATTGAGATTAAAATGTTTGTATGGTTAATTTTTTTTTATTTTTATAAAAAAAAATAAAATAATTATATTATTAATTTATTTTATATTTTATGTTTTTTTAATTTAATTATATTGATTAATATTATATATATTAATTAGTGTATTAATTAGTATATGTGATATAATTTAAAATATTTTTGATATTTATAATTTATATAATGAGTGTGGTCAATAATAATGTCATAATTAGTGTTGATATATTAATTAATTAGTGCATATAGCACCACTCTTTTGAGTGAGTGATGGTATTGCCCTTGCCTACCAATGTATCAAAGGCCTCAGACTGCTTTAATTTCATGGCCCATAATGGCCCAATTTCTGTTTTGTAAAGCTTCAAACGTATAGCTCACTATTTTACCTCAAAGGCCCATTTATTTTTTTCAAAGACCCTACAATTAAAGCCCGTTTGGGCCTTATGTTTTATAAAAATTTAATAGAAATTTTAGTAGATTATTTGAAATTGTTACCATAACTCAAGGAAAAATTCACTTTCATTTCGATTTTTTAGATTCAATTTTTTCATAATTGAAATTTTTTTAATGAATATTCTTAAAATTTTAAATAATTTTGTTACTTTTTTAGATGTATCTTTCTTAAAAAGTAAAATATGTTAAAAAAAATCAATAAATATACAAGAATACAAAGTGTATTGAATTTTCAATTTTTTTTTGTATTTTTGATATTTAGTAAATTTTTAAAAAAAATGACAAATATTATATTTTTTAAATATATTTATATTTGGTGTATCTAAAAAAAAAAAGGTTGTTTAAAATATTAAAAAAGTTTAGTGAAAACAACAAAAAAAAAAAGGAAAATAAAAAATTTCAATTTTCTGAAAAGTGAATAATTGAAACCCAACAAAGTATTATAATTTAAAATTTCAAAAAATTTTAAAAAATTAATTTTCAAAATTTAAGAAAAATTTTGAAACAACTTTCCTTGGTTTTAGTATGGAAAATATTTAGATAACAATTCTCAGACCTCAAAATTTAAGAAAAATTTTGAAACAACTTTCCTTGGTTTTAGTATGGAAAATATTTAGATAACAATTCTCAGACCATCACGGATCCTTAATCAATTTTTCATGAATCAAATTTAAATGAAATTTTGGTTAAAAACTATACTCTATGGATTACTTTTTTACACTCTATTTTTCATAAAATTATTTTGAAATTTTCTAAATTTATCTTAAAATTTTGTTTTTAAATGTTTTTTTAAGGAATGGAAACTGTCTCAATAAATTTTTTATCAAATTTAAATAAAAATATGGCTATTGAAAATTCGTAAAGAATTAGGTTTGTCATTGATTTAGTGAAAAAAAAAATTCTTCCTTAATTTGATACAAGTTTGATGAAATAATTGAAATTCACTTTTAACTCTTTATTCATTTAATTTGAATTTAATAAAAGGATTGTTGAACGATTAAAGATGTTCTTAGATTTTTCTATGTAAAAAGTTACGATTATCAAATTTGTACTGTCTAATACTAACTTTTAATCCCATCATATAAATAAGAAATCAAATTGCTCTGATGTCTCCCTTTTTTTCTCTTTTGTTTGGATTTATACCTACCAAAAATAATTTACAAATCGAAAATCAAGAATGTGATTATTGCAATGTTGAAGAAGAAAAGATTGTACTACTCGACGAGGGCTTCAAATTCATTTGGCAAAATTCACTTCCACCAGACTTTCATTGTCGAGGATTTTTGTCCATCATCCCTTAATGTAGGGATTTTACTACTATTATTTAATATGTTGATTTCGATACATGTAAGAGTTACTCAAGACTGGAATGGAATCTAAAGGGAGAAAAATACCAAATTTTTTCATGTAATAGCAAGTAGCAGGTAGAATAGAAATGCATTAAACTCAATCACAGCAAGGGATATTGTTTATGAAGTGCCAGAACAAGTGAAAGCTAAAGTGTATTCACACTACAAAAACATTTTTGTTGAGGAGTGGAAGTCTAGGCATGTGCTATTAGGTTCATTCAAGAATGTGAAGGGCAATACTTCATTTGGAATGCTTGAGGTAAAGTTCTTTGAGGAAGATATTTGGGCAGCTATCAAAGAGTGCAATGGTAATAAAGCCCTATGGCTTGATGGATTTAATTTGCTTTGCTTTCAAAAGTATTGGAAGACCCTAAAGAAGGAGGTGGTTCTATTCATGAAGGAATTTCATAGTCTTGGTAGATTACCCAAAGGTATTAACCATTCCTTCCTTACCCTAATACCTAAAAAGGAGAATGAAATCAACCTCAATGATTTCATGTCAAAAAGCTTGATTGGATCAATGTACAAAATCCTTACTAAGGCACTGGCAAGTAAATTAAAAGCAATACTATCTGAGGTTATCAGTGAAACACAGTCAGCCTTCTTAGGAGGTAGAAATATAGTAGATGGTGTATTGGTGGCAAATGAGATAGTGGATGGTTGGAAGAAAGCTAAGAAGAAGGGTTTATTGTTCAAGCTTAACTTCGAGAAAGCATATTATAACGGTTTCGGTTTAGACACCCATTTCATCCTCTTAGATTCGGGATTCCGTACTTGTAACTATTATTCATATCCTTTATTGTCTTGTTAGTAGTTGAGTTGTCAAGAGTTAGTTTTTCAAAAGGTTGATGTCCAGTTTTCTTCTTGTTCGCTCGAGCAGTGTTCTGGTCGCTCGAGCCATCTTTGAGATCTTCCAGTATTTTTGCAAGTCAGCAAAACTTCTGGGAGTAAGGTATCTTCACTTGAGTGGTACTTCTTACGCTCGAGCAGTCTTCTTAAGTCTGCAAAACTTCCAGAAGAGGATCGTTATGCGCTCGAGCGGTGTTTTTGTTGCTCAAGCGATCTCACTTATTGTGTCTAACGCTCGAGCTATGGTTTGGTCGTTTAAGCAGTCTGTGCGTATATCAGTTCGGGAAAAGAGGTTTTTAAATCACTTTTTCATTTCCTCTGTCTCTCTAAAACTTTCCAAACCCTAATTTCTTCCCCTTTTCTCTCTAGTTCTTACTTAAAACTTCAAATATTCTGTCATCCATTGATTTCTCCACCATTGCTCCTTGGAGAAAAAGGTAAAGCTCGTCGAAAGCTTCATTCTAATCAGAGAGGATCTCGTTTTCGGCTCTGTCAAAGTTTCACCCTTACTCTCTTCCTCTTCTACTCTTAAGGTAGGGATTTCTTCAACCTTTAGCTTGGTTATTTGCTTACTAGAAAGGATTAGTGATTTGGAGATTTTGGATTAAACCTAAGGTTTGATTGTGAAGCATAAAAGAGGGATTTTTCAAATAAATGCTTGGGAAGGGTTGTGGAAGTATGTATACTAAAGGCTTGTGTTGAGAAATAGGAGGATCTTTCTTTAAATGTGATTTTTGGAAATAAATGAGGTTTTGTTTGAAAATTAGTGATGTTTGATTTATGAAAAAAAGATGAAGAATGTTGGGTTTTTGAAAAAATATGAAAAAATGTATTTGTTGATGATGAGAGTGGAGTTAGATATGTATTATTGCTTCTATTTTGAAATTTATTAGATTTTATTTGTTATCGGAAAGTTATCTGTTGAGTAGAAATATCTATTTTGTGTTATCGGTGAAGGATAGCTTTGATTGTTGTAGAAATGGCATGAGGATTAGGTTTAATTGAAACTAATTTCTTATACATCTTGCATCGATCATTGTTTCATACTTAAACATTGAAATTGTATGTTTTTGAGAAAAAATGATGTATACCTTGGTGAATCTGGTTAGGGGGTGTGGTTGTGGTTTATATTGTTGGCCTAAGTGTCCTTGGTGAAAGTTCAGAAACCCGCACGGTCAGGTGTCAATCCTTTTAGTTAGTATCAATAAAATGGCTTTGGTAATGTTTGTATAGCCTACTAGCAGACATGTACCTAGAGATTCCCAGTGTTTTGTATCCACTGCCCTATTTTCTAATGTGAAATAGTATTTTCATGAATTGAAATATAATAATGATGGCATTGCACTGTTTTGAGATGAAAAAGTATAATGTTTGGCAATCTACATGTATATGCATTCACCTTATGACATCATTAAGTTTCATACTTAGTAATAAAGTATCTTTGCTGGGCTTTGCCTCACCATATGTGGAAAACGATTTTCAAATGCTAATGATATGCCTTCACAAATGACTTAGCTTGGGAGGACCGTGGAGCTGAAAGCTCATTTTTGTTTCTTTTGTTGTAATTATGTTTTGTACAAGCCTTGAGCTTTTTTAATTGTTTTGGACTTGATTCATTTGTTGTAACCACGCAATGTCTTGGAAAGATGTGGCCATTAGGGCATAAACTTATCTATATTACCTTTTATTTCAATTCAGTCCTATATGGCATACGCTATAGATTCAGGATCTATGATTTATGAATGTATATTCACATTTATCATCTTTTGTACGGTAAAGGTATATGAATGAAAGGCTAATATTTCGCGTGTCTATACTCTCTGTTGGATATCATGAGATGGGTTGTCGTTATTATTTCAGGGCATTACACATACGATTTTGTGAATTGGGATTTTCTCTTCTCAATGCTAGATAACTTTGGTTTTGACTCAAAGTGGATTGACTAGATGAAAGAATGCATCTCTACAACTAGAATTTCAGTATTGGTAAATGGTTCACCAACAGAAGAGTTTTGCCCTCAAAAGGGCTTATCACCTTTCCTCTTCAATCTGGTTACTAAAG